TGCTGTTACTACAGTTGTATCTGCAGGAGCTACCTGATGTGTTTGGGTGCTGTTACTACAGTTGTATCTGCAGGAGCTACCTGATGTGTTTGAGTGCTGTTACTACAGTTGTATCTGCAGGAGCTACCAGATGTGTTTGGGTGCTGTTACTACAGTTGTTTCTGCAGTAGCATCATATGTGTTTGGGTGCTGTTACTACAGTTGTATCTGCAGGAGCTACCTGATGTTTTTGGGTGCTGTTACTACAGTTTTATCTGCAGGAGCTACCATATGTGTTTGAGTGCTGTTACTACAGTTGTATCTGCAGGAGCTACCTGATGTGTTTGGGTGCTGTTACAAGAGTTGTATCTGCAGGAGCTACCAGATGTGTTTGGGTGCTGTTACTACAGTTGTTTCTGCAGTAGCATCATATGTGTTTGGGTGCTGTTACTACAGTTGTATCTGCAGGAGCTACCTGATGTTTTTGGGTGCTGTTACTACAGTTTTATCTGCAGGAGCTACCATATGTGTTTGAGTGCTGTTACTACAGTTGTATCTGCAGGAGCTACCTGATGTGTTTGAGTGCTGTTACTACAGTTGTATCTGCAGGAGCTACCAGATGTGTTTGGGTGCTGTTACTACAGTTGTATCTGCAGGAGCTACCAGATGTGTTTGGGTGCTGTTACTACAGTTGTTTCTGCAGTAGCATCATATGTGTTTGGGTGCTGTTACAACAGTTGTATCTGCAGGAGCTACCTGATGTTTTTGGGTGCTGTTACTACAGTTTTATCTGCAGGAGCTACCATATGTGTTTGAGTGCTGTTACTACAGTTGTATCTGCAGGAGCTACCTGATGTGTTTGGGTGCTGTTACAACAGTTGTATCTGCAGGAGCTACCAGATGTGTTTGGGTGCTGTTACTACAGTTGTTTCTGCAGTAGCATCATATGTGTTTGGGTGCTGTTACTACAGTTGTATCTGCAGGAGCTACCTGATGTGTTTGGGTGCTGTTACAACAGTTGTATCTGCAGGAGCTACCTGATGTTTTTGGGTGCTGTTACAACAGTTGTATCTGCAGGAGCTACCAGATGTGTTTGGGTGCTGTTACTACAGTTGTTTCTGCAGTAGTATCATATGTGTTTGGGTGCTGTTACTACAGTTGTATCTGCAGGAGCTACCTGATGTGTTTGGGTGCTGTTACAACAGTTGTATCTGCAGGAGCTACCAGATGTGTTTGGGTGCTGTTACTACAGTTGTATCTGCAGGAGCTACCTGATGTTTTTGGGTGCTGTTACTACAGTTTTATCTGCAGGAGCTACCATATGTGTTTGAGTGCTGTTACTACAGTTGTATCTGCAGGAGCTACCTGATGTGTTTGGGTGCTGTTACAACAGTTGTATCTGCAGGAGCTACCAGATGTGTTTGGGTGCTGTTACTTCAGTTGTTTCTGCAGGAGCTACCTGGGATGCTGTAAATACATTTGCCCAGGATGTGAAGTGGAAGTTTATATTCGGTCTGAACGCCCTTAAGAGGAAGGAAGGACAGTGGGACCCTACTAACGCAAAGGAACTGCTGCAATACAACAGTGCGAAGGGGTACCAGCTGGCAGGTTTTGAACTCGGAAACGGTATGTATATAACTAAATACACGGATATATATGATTGAATATGAATTCAATATACAACTAAAAAAGAAATTAAATAAAATGTGCCAAAACGTTTTAACATCTGATGACATTTCTTTTCATGAATCTGATAAATTACCCTTTACTCCTTAATTTCATACAAACAAATCAAGGAAAATATCACAATTTTACAAGATTTATGACTTGCCAATAACATCTCGTGACATTTATTCAGAAGTGTAACTGGTTACAGAACCTGACTTATTCCCTGGGCAATATAACATCACTGTCAGTGGCAGCCAGTTAGGTAGGGACTTCTATACCTTCAAGAGGCTGCTCCGATCGACACCAGGGTATGAGGTAACACCAGTTATCGGACCTGACATTGCCTCTATAACTGGAGCAAAATCACAGTTCTTTGCTGAGTAAGTAGACTGAACTGACAATGAATTTACGTAAGGGCCGTGGCCATAAAGTTTACATGAACCATGTCGCGTTATGCCATTTACAATCTTTGTGTAAAGTTTGACAAAAGAGTAAACCTCAATCCTGGTCGCAAAACATAACACCCGAACACAAACAAATGCACCACCTGCACGTGGAACACGATGGTGGACCCATTGTAGAACCTAGTAGAAAAAAATACCTAAATAATTAATATATTATAATAAACGGATGCTTTTTGTAGCCTCCCAGTCAATGTGATATATCAATTTGGAGAATTATGGATGTAGAATCGTAGTCCCTTTTAGTTCTGAAATACGTATAGTACTGGTTTATCTCACGTGGTTGCTGTAGAAATATTTGTTGTGTTGTGAAGAGACAAGACCTACCTTCGTATTCGTCAGTTTGTCACGTAGAGTTCGATCTATGGTTTGAAGTAACATACATGCACAATCGCTGTTTGAAGACATAACAGATTACAGCAACTCACACAACAATGCCCACTTTGTTTCCTCAGTTTCTTCACAGGAGGGGGAGACAAGGCCGTGGACAGGATAACTTTTCACCAGTAGGTTGTTTACTTTAGAATCTATGTATTTTTCTAGACTACTTAACCTGTACCGGTTTTTCATTAAGTGAATGGTCAAATATTATGTTTGTAGTAATTAAAATGCTTTGTATAAAGTTCATGGAATACTGACACGTTGCCCAAGTCAAATCTAGGAAAGTCCACAAATGCAATATTACACAGGAAGTTTACTTTCTGCTCTAAAAAAGTCAACCATCTCTGTTTATCATCACATTAACTGATTGAATAACGTAAGCCATGCCACCAAGTATATGTACATGTTTTACCTGTTTGTGACATTTCCTACCAACCAAAGAAGATGAACCATGGTCATCAAACCTATCGATGTTTCTAACAGATACTACACCAGTGGCGAAACGGCAAACCTCACAGATTTTACTGATTCCAAGTTAATGGATAACCTGGTCACTTATATAGAGACGGTGTTGGATGTGACAAGACGCACCAACCCACTTACCCCAGTCTGGTTGGGAGAAACATCCTCCTGTTATCATGGCGGTGCCCCGGGAATCTCAGACAGATATGCCGCTGGGTTTCTGTGCGTACAACTTTAGCATATACACTTCCTACCTTGGTCAACTATACACGCATACTGATAATGAATATTGGTTCATGTCGTCTATCTAGGGCTGAAATATTGTAGATATGAAGAGATGACACAAAGATAAGATTTGTCTTCGGATGTAAGGACGGTTGTGATGTAATAGAATAGACGTGTGTGTGTTTAGATGCAACATATACACCACCTGTTGAAAGTGTACCCTTTTCAGGTGGCTGGACAAGCTTGGTGTTGCTGCTCGGATGGGACTGAAGACAGTTCTCAGACAGGATTTCTACGCAGCAAGCTATGGACTTATTGACAATGATACGTTTGAGCCATTGCCTGTAAGTACAGAACCAACCAGATTTCTTATTTCTTTCTTGAATATACATTTACACGACGTCACATCTTCTGGACAGTTCTTTCCTCTTGGTGTCATTCCTTACTTTCAGTGATCACACTGCACACTCTGATTTTACCGTTTCCATGTTAACGGATCACCTGATCAGTTATATAGAGACAGCTATGGATGTGTCAAGACGTACCAGCCAACCTACTCTTTCTTGGGGAGACATCCTCCTGTTATGATGGAGGTACACTTGGAATATCAGACATATATGTAGCATCTATAAAAAACAATCACTGATTTTCAGTACTGCATGAATATAGATTCACCGTTATGTTGCCTTCAAGCCAAATGGAATCTATTTCGCTTTTAAAATCGAGACTGGTTATTCTCTAGCATTGGCGTTGTATAATTATGGTATGAGTGAATCACGACCATGTAATCTGACTGATAATTCTGCAACAGGTTGTGACACAATTGGTCAAAGTGGGTTGAGTGTTATGCATTTATCTCATGGAATGAAATCATTAGCCACCTTCTAAGGATGATGAAGCCTAATTGCTGCTGGGGCGGTCGGGTAGCCTAGTGGTTAAAGCGTTCGCTCGTCACGCCGAAGACCCGGGTTCGATTTCCGACATGGGTACAATGTGTGAAGCCCATTCCTGGTGTCCCCCGCCGTGATATTGCTGGAATATTGCGGGGTAAAACCATATTCACTCACTCACTAATTGCTGCAAGATTGCTCATGCGGCTCGACGCAAGAATCACTCACTCGATTGATGTTATCATGTTATGACCTTCTTGGACATATAGACGTCTATATTAGCAAACCATTATCTTCACTATCATCTGATGTATCGATGAAAAATAATCATTTTCTCAAGTTGAAAACATGACCAAATATGAGTGGAGAAAGAGAATAAAAATGACTGAGCTGAAATATTGAAAACATGTTACAATAATCAATATTTCAGCTTAGTCAGTGTGATAAAGCCTTTCCTCTTCCAAGACGCACTCTTCTGTATATGTCACAACCTAAGTACCTTAAGAAAAAATGAACGTTTAACATAGCGAAATGTAGTTGCAGTGCATTTTTTTTTCTACATCGATATTAATGACAAATGATGAGTTAGTTTTATTCAATCTGTTTTTTTACTGCAGGACTACTGGTTAACCGTCCTGTATAAGAGACTCGTGGGAGGCGCCGTGTTTTCAGTAGAGGCGACCGTGGACAACAGCACCATCAGGGCCTACGCCCACTGCACAAAGCCTTCCATGTAACTTGACAACCAAAATTACAACTGTAACCAGACATCGTAATGCATCAGGCTGCAAACACGAACATTCATAATAACAAACTATCGAATGAGATAAAGGCTATGTGAGGTGAGATACCATAAAACAGGGTTTAACATAAGATTATTGCGGGTTACAGGGATGGACAGGGATGGTTCGATGGACTCACTAGCAGGTAAGACCCCAACCAACCTGTAGACGTGTTCTGGTTGACGCCAGTCGATGGACTCACTAGCAGGTAAGATTCCCAGCGAAGGTATAGAAGTCGTCTAGTTCACACTTGTCCTTGGACTCACCAGACGTCCTCTGGTTCACACCAATCGATGTCACTAGTATGTAATTTCCCAAACTAACTTTTACACTAATATATGAATGAGTTGCAGGTTGTAAGAGTAAGTCGGTACTTTCTTCTTGAAAACCACAGAAAACCATTCGTGAAATTATCATATATGTATTGGTTTACTATAACATACACATGTGATACATGAACGTTACAAACTATAATCGTTCACAAAGTAGCATGTCAGCTCATGTTCAGTTCTCTGTTTTTACTATGTTAGGAAGGTGGCCTTGAACAACAAGCAGCTTGACCTTGTCAATAATTCGCTGCCGGAGCTGAAACCTTACAGGACAGAAGAAAACACCATCACCTTCCCCGGGAAGTCATTCGGGTTCCTCGTCTTCCCAGAGGCTAACGTAGCCTCCTGCAGTAGCCAGTAATGACGTTCAGAGAATGAGAGAACAAACCTGTATTGTCTGCGCTTGCTATGGAAATAAATCTTAATATTATTGATTCACTTATCTGTTTCTGTCCGACTGAATCATTGCATAGATCTTGTACTTTGTTTTAATCTTCGATTTGGTTTAAATCTGGAGACCTAGAGGGCCAAAGGAGAACCTGGATGTTGTGATTTGTGAAAAAGGCTGTTGCTTTGTGAAGCGTTGCCTTGTTGGAAAATGACGTTCGCTTGTTGCACGAAAACTCCACCGTGTAATTTTGTGTCGTTAAATTCCCCAGAACTTGCACCAAGTCTGTTCTACCAGTGTAAGAGATGATTGCCAACAACCACCACTAATATATGTCCATTTTCTGCATGCAGTTTCGTGCATAGCGTTCCCCGCGAAGCCTGAAAACACGATGTCTTCTATCCTCACGGCGAAGCATAAAAAAGCGACCATCGCAGTTGTGGCTATAATCACATCATCGACGTCCAAGCCGACGTCACAAGGACACCTCGAACTTGTCCGTCTAGCGGGAAGACCTTCAACGGTTCCTCACTGTCACTGTCCAGGTATTGCCGTAGTTGTAGGGGTGGTTTTGTCGGTTCCTTCGCGTAAGTGGCGTAGCTGTATGAACCTGTCCTGCGCTCCACTTGTGATATGTGGTTGACCGGATCTGGGAAAGCCACATGTTGTCCAGTGTGTCTGATGACGGTTTCGAAGTCTTGTAATTGTGCCATGTGCTACGTGTAAAAGCCTGGCTACGACCAAATATGATTTACCTGTTTGTTGTCAATCGTTTCACCAAATTTCTTCAATACCTCATTCCTTCACACAAATCAGTCCCAATCCATGCAGAAATGACTATTTCGTATTACGTATTAATTTTTTTTATGGATGTCGGAAACACTCTATTTATATTTACAATTTTTCTGCTTTTCTGTTTCTATTTTTTGCAGAGTATTACCCAACAACTAAACATCACTGTTAGCTATTAAATGATTTGATACTGAGTATTTGAGTATGTACGTCCGTATTTCTTCTTTGGATTGAGTATTGATTCTGTGATAAAAAGGTACATTCACTGACCATTTTATCCCCAAATAGTTTACATGTATCACTATTTACAAAACAGTATGTAATTACGTGCACTTGTCACCTGTGAGTACACTGTTAGATACATTTGGTGCCTGCATACTTTGGGTGAACGTTACACCATCAGCATCCGTGCCCCCGATGCGGAGTATGCAGGGAGAAAACGCTCGAGCAAGGGTCTTTAACTGTGTTGACCTGAATGTCAAAATGGAATCTGTAGAAGGAACACATCAGGTCATCAATATCAACAATGACTGAAAGATTGTCACACTTACACTACCCACCCCACCCCGCCACAACAACTCATTGTAAAGGTAAAATAAATCTAAGCTCATGCTACGTTTATCATAACGTCGGTCAGTTTGGTTTCACGCGTATTTAATCAATATTTCAGTTATATCATGGCGTCTCAGCTTGACGTCAGAACCCACCATTATGTCATGCGGCGGCGGTCTGTAAATAATCGAGTCTGAACCAGACAATCCAGTGATTGATGTCATGAGCATCGATCCATGCAATTGGGATACCATGACATGCATCAACCAAGTCAGCGAGATTGACCACCAATCCCGTTAGCCGCCTCTTACGACAAGCATAGTCGCCTTTTACGGCAAGCATGGGTTGCTGAAGACCTATTCTACCCAGGATCTTCCCGGCTATCGATGCAGTAGCAGGTATAGCAATATCTAGTAATTTCAACGAACATAATTGGATACATTACCTATAGATCAGGGGGTTAAAACAGAGATATTGTAAATACGACCGTGTGCATAACACATGCAATGATCACATTGCATATATTAGGGTAATAATAAACAGTACTGAATGTAAATATTTAGCTGTGATAGGCAATTCTCTGCCATGAGATAGATGCGTGATAATCGAAGTGTTGGCTACATGGGGCAGGCACATGTTTCTAACGGGTGTACCAGAAACCATTGTAGAAAGCAAAACTTATAGCCAGATATCAATTCCTAACATCTGGCATTGATACCTTTGGACACTGTCACCCAGGACGTTAACCCGTGAAGATCCGGGTTAGAATAAGTCTTCAGCAACGACTGACCTCGTGTCATTGACAAACTGCTGATAAACTGATAACAACTGGTTTACTTCAGTTCGATGATGGGATTTTTTAAATCAGAAATGAACTGCTCATGACGGATGCCACTAGTGGAGCAGGATACACTGACCTTTTCGCATGACCCGTGATAACCGGGGCAGAATAGGTCTTCAGCAACCCATGCCTGCCGTGAAAGGCGACTTTGCTTGCCGTAAGACTAACGGAATCGGGTGGTCAGGCTCACTGACTTGGTTGAAACATGTCATCGATCCCAATTGCATGGATCGATGTTCATGATGTCAATCACTGCATTGTCTGGTCCAGACTCGATTATTTACAGACCGCCGTCATACAGCTGGACTACTGCTGAGTGCGGCGTTAAACAACAATCAAACCTAGGACGTAAGGTGTCATTCTCCAGGACCACTCTTCCTTGCATCCAATTCAAAGCGGACATTGTACATGTGTTGATGGGGCTGTGGCATTTATTGAAAGCGGATTCTATATACTTTAAGTGTATGTGTTGTGTTTTAACATATGTGCCTTCAGTACTTGTCTAGTATTGTCTATTACTGTAATCATTAAATATAAAATGTGCCCGAGTGCGGAATGCTAACTACAAAGGAAAATTTGAAAGATTTGTAATGTTACATTGGTTTAATGTAATCTACATTACAATTAATACCAGTCAGCATCACTTGCAGATATCAACATCCGCATCAGGAAACACAGCAAACCCGAAGGTCCTTGCTGGTAGCATGAGGAGCCCGCCATAGGCCTTTTGAGGGGGCATGTCAGGGATGGTGTTGTTCACATAATCCAGTCGTTTACCATTTAGTGTCACATTCCTGAAATTACAATGTCAGTGTCTTATATCAAACGGCATATCTGTGCCAATAAGACGCCAACCACTTCCCAAACGACGACAACACATCAGCTATTCGGATTACAATGGTTAATAAAATGAACGCGACATTATAGGTCACGTTTATCTATGTAGCGCGTAATGTAAAGGCAAGGACGAAGCGTTATTGTTAGGTGTTATTATTATTATTTTTATCTCTATGGCATGAAATATTGGCAAACCCGACCGACGTTAGCCTTTGTTACAAAGTGTTTAAAGTGTTCTAAATAGTTTCTTTGTGACATCACGTATCCGTATACTCGCCTTGAAGTAAGCTCTATGAACTCTGGTCTAAGCCAGAAGAGATCCATATTCTTTTGGAATTGTGGGAAGGTGACGACGGTGGTGTAGATGTTGACGTTGACGATGTAGACTACAACACTACCCGGCTTGTAGTTGTACACGCTGTGAACAAAATATGTGGAACATTGTTGGACAAAAAATGGTTTATATAGTTAAGCACATCAGAATTCGAAGTCATTAAATTACAAGCACCTCATGAAAATGTGTGATGACAGTGCAGTTATGTTAGATGTTCTAGATGCTGATGATTGAATATAGAGAGGAAGTGACTGAAACATAAATATTTGTCTCCTGCATACTGACTATCCCATTCAACACCTCCCAACTGTGTACCTGTTCTGTTTGGCACAATGTGCGTAGACCCTGAAACTGTTGGTTGAGTTGGTCTGCACAGATAACACTTTATTCCCAACCAGTCTCTTGTAGAGCAAGGTCAGCCAGTAGTCCTGGAAAGTGACAATGTTACGCAAAGAACAAATTAAGATTTATCACATGAAAGTTACAGTTAGGGTCAAGAGCGGGTGACAGGGTAGCAGGTTTACCAATAATGATCAAATACTGGAAACATTGAACCATAAATTGCCTACGTAAAAATAGATAGAAAGTTTCACGATATCCAATGGTGTCTTTACAGTTAAAGTCAGAGACATTCGGTAAACTGACAACGTATTTCTTACTGTATTACCGTATTTTGCAAAGATGAGTTTTAGTCAATCATAATGGAACAAGATGATATCATATTTGTACCTACCGGATAAGGTTCAAACGTGTGAGGTTCGATCAGAGAATAATTTTGTCCATAGTACGATTGTCTCAAAACCCCTTTAAGTCCCATCCTTGAAGCAACCCCGAGCTTGTCTAACCATCTGAAATATTAATATCATTAATAGTCCAGGTAAGTGTAAATCAAAACATTTATGTTTTATGTTCAAAGCGATTTGAACAAATGAAATGGAGGGGACGATTTTGCGTTCATTAGACTATCCATGTCGTCGTGCACATTCATTCATTTTGGCAACTCCCAAAACAAAACAAAAACAGCTGACCCGTGAGGATCCGGGGAAGAATAGGTCTTCAGCAACCCATGCTTGCCGTAATAGGCGATTATGCTTGTCGTAAGAGGCGACAATCGGGATCGAGTGGTCAGGCTTGCTGACTCGGTTGATGCATGTCATCTATCCCAATTGCGTGGATCGATGCTCATGATATCAGTCACTGCACTGTCAGGTCCGGACTCGATTATTTACAGAAAGCCGTCATATGGCTGGAATAATGCTGAGAGCGGCGTTCAGCTTAATCCTGCTTCAACATCATTAACAAGACAAGAATGTATACCAACTGTTTACTCAGTGTTTTATGTGTGTCTGTGTTTTTCTGCAATGTCCAGGTCCATATGGTCAATACCCGGAGGGAAGCTGGTACTAAATATAACCTCAGCAGCATGAGTTTGGTTTGGTTGTTTGTTGTTCAAGTCCGCACACAGCAATATTCCAGCTATATGACGGCGGTCTGTAAATAATCGAGTCTGGACCAGACAATCCAGTGATTGACATGAGCATCGATCCACGCAATTGGAATACAATGCGCATGAGGATCAGATGGTTACCATTTAGGCAACTGACTGATTGCCTAGAATACCTTCTTTACAATCCGCACCCCTGTAGTTTCTAACTGTCTCGTAAGCGAACATCCATGCACTATAAACTGGCCAATTGATAAACCATTCGGTCGTCACTCTGTAGACCCAGGTTCGAATCCTCACATTGGAAACTTCTATGAAGACCATTTCTGGTGTCCCCTGCCGTGATATTGATAGAATAGTGCTTAAAGCTCACTCAGTCACTCGCGCACACCAAATTTGTTTCGCCATGAAAATAATGTAGACAGACAATACTCACAGAAAGCCTGCAACATATCTATCAGATATATCAGGTGCTCCCCCGCCATAGAAGGACGATGTCTCCCCAAGCCAAACGGGAGTGTCGGGGTTGGTAGGAGCAGTGACGTTACGCACTCTATGGATGTCAGATATCAGGCTGTCCAGCACCTTGGGGTCGAGACAGGTGTCCACTGTAACACCGACTTCGTAGGCATAGTATCTAAACATTCAAACATTTCAAATTCAACGCAGAGAAAAGTTTGTTTTTAAGTGTCCCTACTGCAATGGTTGACAAACGTAGTGCCGTTACATGTGTGGTTACAAAAACCTAATTAGATAAATAAGTAAGAAACTGATATAGCTTAAAACTCACTGGTGAAAGGTGATTCTGTCAACAGCTTTGCTTCCTTCCCCTTTGAAGAAACTGTAAAATAGTCATTAGGAATCCCAGCATCAAACTCGTTTCAAAATCCGTTTTCGGTATAGAACATGAAATATGTGACTGAATATCATGTACTGGAGTGGTGCATGGCTCATCTATATATCGATTATCACATTGCTGTAATACAGCAGTTGGGTACCATGAGGCCTCACATTTTAATTTAATTTAACAACCCCCAGATAAAATTTTGAACTTCTGTTTTGCACGTTTCTACTTACTTCTCGAACAATATGGATCTCGGTCCTGAGATACCTGTTACATCTGGTCCAATCACCAGCGTGGATTCGAACCCAGGAGTAGACTTGAGGATTTCCCTAAGATGGACAAAATCTCGCCCAAGCTGTGCTCCAGAAATTGTATTGGTGAAGGGTTCAGGGAAATATTCAGGTTCTAGAGACCAAAGAAACTAGAGTATTATATCAAGATAATGATTATGGTCGTTACAGTACATATGTTCGTCATGCTCTACACTTTTTGACTTTGAGATTGAAGAATAACGTGCACATATATATCTTAAAGTAGTAAACACGGCGGAATGACCTAAGTATGACTACACATACTTGGTGAAGTATAATATCATACACAAAGATGTTACGTTGTATGTTCTATTCAATGAGCTGTAGAACTGTTACCATTTCCGAGTTCAAATGCGGGCATCTTGTAGTTCCTGGCATAGCTATAGCTCATCAGTTCTTTGGCGTTTTCAGGGTCCCACTGTCCGTCTTTCCGCTTCAATACATTGAGGCCAAACACCAAGTCCCATCCCACGGTCCTCACAAAGTCATTCAGATTGTCCCATATAGCACCTTATTAATAAAATAGAATTGTTATGCGTACATTTCTCAGCTGGATGAAGCCAATAAATAAACTCGGATAAACAAGCAACATAATGTCATGTAGAAACTCAGTGTTTGCGAACAAACATGGCGTCGCTCTTTTTTATCGGCGATCAGAATTAATATTAAGCAGTCATTCTTTGTTCAGTTCAATATAAATGTTCTAGAAAGACAGATTGAACGTCTTAGTTTAAGTTAGATACCACCACCAAACCAACGTCCGGCTATGCCTCTTTCCGAAGATATTGTTCACGTGCAGAAACGCTTTTTGAAGCATGTCGCTGTCGAAGCCGAATATCAGTTTCAGAAAACAAATGTCTTCGCTGCCAGTTTAAAACGACTGATCACTGACATTGCGACATAATATTTTAATGCGAACATTCCAAGATAAGTTTCGATAATAGATTCATGAATAACATTATAAGACAAAGTGGCTATCGTGGTTGTGTGTGCTTGGATGTTAAAAACTATGTACTTTTTAAGTACAGTGTTCATTCCTCATAGAACATATTTACCATCCCAAAACACACACGTGTGATAACCCCTATATGTCCTTCTTTTGAAAACAATAAAATATTCATTTAAACAAATGTAAATGAGATCATTGATCGATATGGAGTACAATTTTGAACATTGGCCTATTGTAATCAGTGTAAACTGATTTTTGGACCAGGGATAGCAAAAAATTACCACAAGATACTAGCTTCCGCCCAAAATCCGTAGGGCCAATGACGAAGGGCAGATAACAAGTAGGTTTTGATGATATATGTCGCCCTACTGTCTGCAATTGCTGGTCCGATTACTTACACTCTTTGAATGGTAAGTCCCCATGGTCCCAAGTAAGGTGGCCTTACTTTGGTTACTGGTGATCTATAGCCCAATTTAAAGCCCGATTGAAAGTGTATTCTTTTAACTGTTCTCAACTAGTTGTAAATTAAAAAAATGTGATACTCTAGTTATCTTATCGTTCATCGTTGACAGCTTTTTTAATCTAAATATAATTATTATAACTGTTTCGTTACGATATGGCTAAAATATTGCCGATGTGACGTTAAATTTCACTCACTCACTCACTCACTCACTCACTCACTCTGAATGTGTTTGCTGCTTTAGGTGCTTGACATTTTTTGTTCTTTGTCTTTGGTCATCTGTCACGTGGTTTAGTCGCCATTATGGATTCATGGTTTCACAGTGTGGATTGGTGCATGTCTTTACATCCATACTCTCTGAATCAACTGCATAAAATGCTTCCAAACTCTCTGAGAGTTCTCTCAATACATGCCACATTAAATATGTATTGCCGGTTTTGGATATCTTTTTAGTTGCGGATATATTGGATTTTGATTTTGATAATTTATTTCTCATAAATTTTACTTTAAATATCATATCTGTTTTGTTCTTGTTTGCATGGTAAAAGTAGTACTGCTTGGCAGTTATGTTTGATTCAAGTTAGTACTCTAATTGAGTACTACTAATAATAAGCGCCCCACAATTATTGATTAACCCCCGTTCACTGTCTAATTAGAGAGCCAAGAGCAATACACAATCTTGTCACAAATGTCGTCAGTTTTATGTATATTACCCGTGAAGAATAGAGTTAGAACTGGTTTTCAGCAAACCCATGCTTGTCTTGTCGTAAGAAGTGACTAACGGAATCGGGTGGTCAGGCTTGTTGCATTTGTTGATGCATGTATTCGTTTTCCAATAGGCAATTGCTTCGGTGCCTTACGTTGGATAGCATTGGTACAAGCAAACCCTTCGAGGATTTTAACATGGAGGAACACTCTTTAGAACACCCTTGGACACACTGGCACACGCCAATTTCATAGCGGCGGTTCCTGGGGTTCTACGTCGTGCGCCACACAAGCCGAGTCGGCGAGCGCCCGTGTCAACCCAAACCGAGGCGGAGAGCCCTTGCTTAGCGGGGTTCGGGATCCCGTCTTTGGCTATGTTTGAGCGTCCGCAGGAACGGCAGTAAACTCAATTCCTTTCTTCATTCAGGCAGTTACTGAAGCTCATTCGCTCAGCGATAGTGGTATTGAAACTGTCGTTTTGTGTCGTCCACGCCCACACCATTGTGTAAGCACCGCTTCTCGTCCACTGAGTTGCCCGATTATGTTCAAATGTTGTTTGCGTATGTAGACAGTTGCGTTCCAGATACCACCAACATTCCAAGGCCGTGCTTTTGTGTCTAAGGAGCCCGACATTGCTGCTTACAGCTATATTTTACCTTATACTTACTCACGGAATCAATGTCAGGGGTTTGCATATGATCTTACTACAGCAGTTAAAGCAGGATTCAGTACAGATTACATTCCTAATCATTGAATGTGACAATTTTTGAGACCTCTGCTCTACATTAACTGCATATTTCACAGACTCTGGATGGCGTCAGGATTATTATAAGCAGTGTAAATCCCTAACAACTCAAAACGTTGTCACGGCGAAGGAACCTTATCACTTGATGAATGTTATGACCCAATTGATATCATTCATTTTTCTGGCATTGAATACTCCCAAAACGAAGTGTCGTATATATTATATAAGTCACATAAACATACCAGTAAAAGTGGAGTTTGCACTTGTACCCCCATGACCCGTTGGGTCAAATGTATTGAAGTCTCCAGCTGTTCCGCCTATTCTCAGATAGCTGGGGGATAACGCCTTAGCAAGCGTCCGCACTTTGGGTGAACTAGAAAATTAATTTCAAATATTATATCATCAAAATGATTTGTTCTTTTTCAAACGTGAACGATTGTTCACCATATTCGTATGATATATAATGTTTTATCATAAACTTAAGTGTGAAAGACTGAGTTTGATATTTTCATTGCAGTGAACATGGCAATTGATATTTCACTGCACTGAACATAACACTTGATATTTCTCTGTTGCCATTTATGGAGTTAATATCGCTTCAGGCCGTATGTTATTCTCTTAGAGATTGTTTCGTTATATACTGTAAATTTCTCACTTAACTCGTCAATCGAGACTGGTCGTTTCGCAAAGCGCAATTTTGTTTCTTGACCAGCGTGTATTCTTTCGCTTCAAACAGCGGTTTGGTAGTTTTCAAGTATATTTTTTTTGTTAAAGTTGATTTTGTATATAACCATATCTATATGTATGATAGAGACGTTTCGTGCCCCTAAAAATGTCTTGCTTCTCTTCTTCATATTTTTTAAAGATTATGCAAACACGAAACTACTTCTCCAGTTGCAAATACAGGGGGTGGTGAACCATCCCTGTGTGTTAGGTAGGGAGAATTTACGTTTCAAGTTTTTACATTTGTAATGAAATATTTACCGGTAGACAACTACACAAAAAGTATCAAAAAATTGAATATTTCTTATGTCTCGTAAAATATTATGTTTCTCTCATCGCGTGACGGGGAAAAATGAGATATATCCTTTTCACCCGTGATATTTCACTCGACACATGAAATATCCTCTCTACAGTAAACTACATAAATAAACTAATACACTCACCGTAAATCCAGTCCTCCCCAGTTAAAAGCTATTGGTATCTCTGCTGAATCAATTGTCACTCCAACGAAATGGTCATCTATCGTTGCTATTTCCTTGTCTGTAGCAACAGTGACAGAAACAGACTGACCCACTGTACATTGCACATGTAAGGAGCAGAGTATAACGAGCACACGTGTCACAGTCATGGTGTCCTCAGCACTGCATGTATGTTAATGTGTATCTATATAAAGAAGTATACCATTTAATGTGAACGACTGACCTCGTGTCAACGACAAACTGCTGATAAACTGATAAAACAACTGGTTTACTTGAGTTCGATGATGGAATTTTTTAAACCAGAAATGAACTGCTCATGATGGAAGCCACTAGTGGAGCAGGATACGCTCACCTTTTCGCAACACCCGTGAAGAGTCCGGGGTAGAACAGGTCTTCAGCAACCCATGCTTGCCGTAAAAGGCGACTATGCTTGTCGTAAGAGGCGACTAACGGGATCGGGTGGTCAGGCTCGCTGACTTGGTTAATGCATGTCATCGTATCCAAATTGCGTTGATCGATGTTCATGATGCCAATCAGTGGATTGTCTAGTCCAGACTCGACTATTTACAGACTACCGTCATATAGCTGGACTATTGCTGAGTACAGTGTCAAACAGCAAACAAACAAACAAGCAAGGAAGTAGTGAATCCTGTCAGTCAACAACGACGTTTACTATGTAGCACGTTCAGGACGTGTTTTCGCTGTTCCTCCTACCGTTGCGTCCCCAACGTTCAAGATGTCAACGTGTACACACAACAATATGATAGTTTCTGAACAACTTGTTCCAGTGATGCGTGAGTGAGTGAGTGAGATTCATAGTCACATCGGCAATATTTCAGCCATTTCGTGACTAAATCAGGTTGTAAATCAATAATATATAAATATAGACATTATAATCTGTCAACAAAGGACAGTAAAAACACTAGACTATCACAGATGTAGATTGTAAAACTAGCATATCATAATAAAATTTACACAATAAAAATGGGCTATAGATCATCAATAGCAAAAGGTAGGTCACCATACTAGGTACCATGGGGACTTACGATACTTCTGCTACCTACATGTCCAGTGACGTGTTGACGTGACGTCAGACTTGGATGGCCAGCTTGTTGCAAGCCCTGAGTGTTTCCCTGCTGTAGATAACGTCTAAGAGATGACATTGTGCTAATGATTCAACATTTATCATAAGTAGGACAATGTGATTCTGCAAAAAAACAGCCATATGTCACTATTTCAAGGTCCCTAGCAATCTATACCTGGTCTTTAGAGGCCACTAGATTGCATAAAGTGGTCAGATTTCAGACTGGCCCGCGAGTCATCATAATGTGACACACCTACATGTACTTTAAGTATAAATATATTTACAAATGAGCATGCATATTCAAATAACATAAACATAAATAAATAAAATGTTAAAAAGTTACATAACTAAAGTGAAAGATTATCGTGTACCAGATGTGTGTGTCATGTTGTACTTTCATGACCTTTTACCTTGACACCCTTATCTAGTGATATATTTATCTGTATTAGTTGGTTTGTTGTTTAACGCCGTACTCAACAATATTACAGCTATATGACGGCGGTCTGTAAATATTCGAGTCTGGACCAGACAATCCAGTAATTGATATCACGAGCATCGATCCACGCACTTGGGATCGATGACTTGCATCAACCAAGTCAGAGAGCCTGACTACTCGATCCCGTTAGTCGCCTCTTACGACGAGCATAGTCGCCTCTTACGGCAAGCACTCTCTGTGCTAACGATTGGTAATACGGTAATACACGAGGGGAGTCACCTACGCCTACCGCAATGCTTGAGTCACTTCACTTTACATATTGGGATGCTAACATCATTAACAACAGTTAGATATGCAGACGCATAAGAAGCTTTGAGTCTTGAGTTATCAATCAGTCTTAATAAAACTTAGCCACATAGCCGTAAAACTCCTCTGCACTACAGTGCCATTCCAGGCGCTGTGAAGAGTAATGTGTTCTACATTTACTTCGGGATTTTACATCCGTAAGACGTCCAAAACGAGTCTCTTCCAAGTTTTGTGGCCTACGATTTTACCGAAAGTTATCACAGGCCCAGTGAAAGTAGATGTGAAGTAACTACATATTCAGATAATTTGACAGTTCAGTAAACGTATATATGTACATGTAGAACACATTGCTAGGTTGCATGCTTGTGTTGTGGAAAACGAAACCATGAAAACGAAACTCTGAAGAAATGTCTCTTAGTTAAATTGACACAATAACAGAAAGTTTGTTTGAAAAAGACCGAGGTCAGTCTAATGTACATATTGTCAGTTGTCTCATTTAGACAGCGGAACAGATCCCGATGAACAGAACAAATGAGCTTGACACCTGGGTGAATATATACCAAGGTCAGAGGCGCACGGGTTTTCAGACTCAGTTGCCAATGACAATGTCATGTTTCCATCTTATAAAGTGTCCATATAATTGACACACTTATTGATTTTCTACACCCACGGGACCGGTTTTTACACCAAACAAACGCAAATATGGGAGGAAATGCATGCAAGAACACGATTTGTGTATATTTCCTTTATGTTTCAATGCCCGAAACAGATTCCATTTGGCGTAAAGGGCAAAATAGCTAGGAAAATTATATGAATGGACAACTGATAATCAGTCATGACATGGTCTTCGCGAAAAGGGTAAGCATATCCTGCCCGACTGGGCAGCGTCCTTGAGGTCGAGGTCAAATACTTAAAGGAGGCATAAGTCTGTCATCTTGAAGACGTTACAAGAAGAAGAACGCAATGCCAACAAAGGAAATGCATATATTTGTAATGGAACACTGCTTTAGTTTATTACGCATTACACATTCCACTTGTAACAATCACCAACAGCGATAGGCAGGGTAACAACAAGTACCATCTTTTCACGGGTTTTTTTGGTATGACGCGACAGGGGATCAAACCCCGGACCTTCCGCTCTCCGTGCAGACACTATACCACTAGACCACGGAGGCGGTCACATATTGTAGAAAGCAATGCTGACAGTCAAATATTAGTTCCTTTGGACATTGTCGCCTTGGGCGTTAGGTATCATTCTCCTGTACTGTACATTGTGTTGATAGTTCTGTGGCACCTTTGAAAACCAGAGTTAATGTTTTTTTGCTCAATTATGTATGTGATGGCAGTTACCTCCAGTACTTGCCCATTACTACTATTATATGTGTATTTTGAGCATTATACATCACGTATAACTGTGGAATGCCAGACAAGAACAGAAAGCCAAGTTTGTAATGGAACGCCGTTTATAGTTTGCTACACGTGGCAAACAATACCAGTCAGCATCACTTGCAGATATCAACATCCGCATCAGGGAACACGGCAAACCCGAAGGTCCTCGCTGGCAGCATGAGGAGCCCGCCATAGGCCTTTTGAGGGGGCATGTCGGGGATGGTGTTGTTCACATAATCCAGTCGTTTACCATTTAGAGTCACATTCCTGAAATTACAATGTCAACTGAAATTAAGGACAACACTAGCGACGATAAACCATAGTCTCGTTAGTTATATGAGTGATCACGTTTGAGTATGTAGCACATTATATAAAGTAAAACGCACGTAATATTAGCCTGTATCATAAAGTGTTCTCGTTCCGCTGTGTATTAGTCTCTGACCATCATCATGTATCCCTTTACTTGCCTTGATGTAAGTTCTATGAACTCTGGTCTGAGCCAGAAGAGATCCATATTCTTTTGGAATTGTGGGAAGGTGACGACGGTGGTGTAGATGTTGACGTTGACGATGTAGATTACGACACTGCCCGGCTTGTAGTTGTATACACTATTCAAAGATATGGAAACATGTTGGAGCGAAAAGTTACAATATTTTGGCACATCAGAAGTCATCACATTACATGCACGTTATGGAAATGGATGACAACAGAGGAGACATTTATGTTCTAGAAGTTAATGTTCAAATATAAAAAGGACACTGACTATCCCACTCAACACCTTCCAACTGTGTACCTGTTCTGTTTGGCACAGTGGGCGTAGACCCTGAAACTGTTGGTTGAGTTGGTCTGCACAGATAACACTTTATTCCCAACCAGTCGCTTGTAGAGCAAGGTCAGCCAGTAGTCCTGGAAAGTGACAATTGTCTATGCATCACGTAGGTCTGAATCGTATCGGAAGAAAATATGTGGCGCAGAAAAGTTTCTGAAAATACAGGACTTTCACGCTTCATGCATGACACTGGTGCTACTGTCTTGTATTGTATATATGTGCAGGTAATATGAGTTTGTGTGAATACGTTTGATTAATTATGTATATTATGTAACTTCTGGTGGAAAATAAAGATTTTAGCCAGTCCCGACGGAACAAGATGCCATGATATTTGTACCTACCGAATAAGGTTCAAATGTGTTCATCTCGATCAGAGAATAATTGTGTCCATAGTATGATTGTCTTAAAACCCCTTTAAGTCCCATCCGTGAGGCAACCCCGAGCTTGTCTAACCATCTGAAATATTAATTTGAAGCTAGGTGAATCAAATGCGGGATGAATAATTGCTCACATGCTTGTCGAGGTAGGGTTGCGCATTCATTCTGGCACTATCCACAACAATAAAAGTCCTCAAACGGGCACGGGCGGCCTAGTCGTCAAGGGCGCCGCGATTCGATGTGCAGAGTTGCGTCCCTTGGGCACGCTAAAAACCTATGATTGTGGGTTCGAATCCCGGTTCGCCCCGATTATGTTTCTAGGTTTGTCAGCACCATACCCGTGCTCGTGGGTTAATCTGAAGTGGTAAACGTCTAAGACCTGCATCACATCGGGCTTTCCTCCCATACTAAGCTGACACTCCGTGATATAACTGGAATACTGTTAAAAGCGGCATTAAACCCAATTCACTTACACCCACCAGATTAAACAAGGCTGTGTATATTTTTTTTCAGCTGACAGATGTTGGCCGAAGTTTTATGTGTGTTTGTTGTTTCTGTTTGGTCCAGGTCCATATCGTCAACTAACCGGTTACTACAAATATCCTCAGGAGTATGAGCGTGAGTAGGTCTCCATGCAGGATCTGGCTGATTGTGTGTCACCATGCACCGACTGGTCTTGCTGTCAAACTCTGGTTTGCCAGACCCAGTATTGTGTATTTACAAAACGCACCGCTAAAGCTTGACTATTTCTAACTACCTCGTAAAAGAACACCAATGCACTATAAACAGGGGTAACTATAAACCGTTTGGTCGTCACGCTGTTGACCCAGGTTCCATTCCTCACACGGGTAGGTTCCGTGAAGCCAGTTTCTGGTATGTTCTACTGATGGAATAGGTGTAAGTACATACTCGCTCTATAAATTGTTATACTTTATAAAAATAAAGTAACTTTCAAAAAGAGAGACAATACTCACAGGAACCCAGCTACATATCTATCAGATAACGCTGGAGTTCCCCCGCCATAGAAGGACGATGTCTCCCAAAGCCAAAGGGGAGTGTCGGGGTTGGAGGGGGTGGTGACATTACGCACTCTGTGGATGTCAGATATCAGGCTGTCCATCACCTTGGGGTCGAGGCAGGTGTTCACTGTCGCATCGCCTTCAAAGGCATAGTACCTAAACATTTAAAGGATTTTCAAATGTGACGCTAAGGAAAGCTCGTTTATTAAGTGTCCCTACAGCAATATTAATAAGCGTAGAGTAGTAACATGTGTTGTTACAATAACTTAATTCAACACATGTTTCAGAAGATGACATAGCTTAAGACTCACTGGTGAAAGGTGATTCTGTCAACGGCCTTGCTTCCTTCGCCTTCGAAGAAACTAAAAAATCATCAATAGGAATTCTAGCATCAAACTCATAATTGTGAATTCCGTTTTCGGTAATTGAATGACGTGAGCTACTGGATTGGTGTCATGGATACTTTACAATGATTTATATATCGCTTATCATATCACCGCATTAAAACAGTTGAGAAGATTGACCATGTCCATGATGTATCATATGTTACTTTCACATCAGTATCATGCTACTGGTACCCAGAAGACAATGTGTGCCAATCATGAAAACATGTTTTCTAAGTTTCCACTTACTTCTGAAACAATATGGATTTCCGTCCTGAGATACCTGTTACATCTGGTCCAATCACCAGCGT